ACTTCAAATGACATTAGGCAAGTCTTAGATGGCATTATCTAGTGTTCTGATGAGATTTTTCCTATGAATGTTCGTACAACAATCTACCAGTGTATGGCCAGATTAAGAAGAGCAGTCCATTACTCACAGATGGAACAAATGGATCCCTTAGGAGTAGGAGTAAAACAAGAACAACTAAAGCCTCCTGTATGTAAGTCTAGACAGATACTAAATCCAGTTACTATGTGATACATAAGCCTCATAAAATAAAACAAATAAACTTCCTTCACCTTCCCTGAGTGAGCAAAACCCTTGTTCATTTGTATCTCATTCACTCCCCCTTCCATACACTGCAGCTCAAAGGTAGGGGTGGGGTTAGCAACAGAGGCAGTACTATCAATCCAGAAAGCAGTGGGTGGGGCTAGGCGTGGGGAGGTGCTGATTGACAAGCTTCAGGCTTGTGGATCAGCAGTAATGATGCTTGGAGCCACGCCCGCTGTAATATTTTTTACACTCCACTGTAGTACATGCAGTCACAGTCTACATGAGAGTACCAACGCTGCTCTGATTTCAGGAGCAGTGTAGCATTGTGGCCACACCATCACATCACCATTGCTATCCGTGGCCCCACTTGGGAGATTTACCTCTCACTTTGTCCTGATCACTATTGTCACCAGGGCAGAAGTGATGGGAAATTCAAAGTTATACAGTGGTAAGCATTCCATTCTCCATCCAAAACTAAAAAAAATGGAGGTTTTGCTATAGAAATACTATAAACCTACATGATGGCATAATGCTATATATGATTAATCTCTAATGTCTTTGTGTAGCTTAGAGCCAGTTAATCTATTTGTTAGCAATCTGCTATTCTTGGTGATTCATTACGGCTGATTTGTAGTATTACGATTGAGCTAATAATTACCCATATAGCTTAGACCTCCTGCGTTGTGTGTGTATAATCAGATCAGAGAATGATTGGATTACAGATCAAATTGTACTTGGATATAGGAACGGTGAGCTTATTCATTACCATCTTACTTATCAATATGGAATGTGGTTGTCAATGTTGTACTTTGTATAAAAGTATACAGCTGAAAAGAAATGTCACACAAGCATTTATTTAGGCTTTTATTTCCCCTGTGTGTGGTGGAAATTCTGCTCGTCCTCCGTTTATATTCAGCTGAAGAATGTGCGTTTATCTTAACATTTGCAGTGCTTTCTCCCTCTTTATTTTAGGTAAGGTGTACGGTGGATTTAATTGTTCTCCAAAGCATTATTCAGCCTCTGTCCAGTCTTGGATATAATCTGCTGTGGGCTGATAAGCTGGTCCTGTTCATTATAAAACGGCCGACGTTTTGTTATGAGCTACTGCGACAGCCACCTGGGTACATACCGCCAAGGCCATAAATAACGATTGAATAGCCAAGACGTCATTTATCATGATTGCTGCAGGTGAGGACAGCTGCACTTAGCACTTAGTAGGTGAGAGTGTCTCCATCCAGGTCAGGAAGAAATTGCCTATTTAACCTCAAAATATCATGCTGAAAAATCCACTGTCCTGCGGATTTATGGTGGACGGTGGTGGGCAATGCTACTCACGGGACTCTTAGGATTCAGGCAGCCAGAGTTCCCAACTCCTGACCTATAATGCATTCTTATATTACTTTTCCATTGTATGAGGGTCTGCTATGGGTGCTAGAACTGTGCGATCTACCTACCACTGTTAGGCTGGGTTCACACCTAGGCGTATCGAATATGTGCGTTTGTCGCGCGTTTTGTGACACGCGTTTTTGCCACGATTCGTGGTAAAAAACCGCACAACAAACACGCGTTTCCGAGGGCTACTTGTCTGTATCCCAATGGAAACGCGCTCCAAAAACGCCCCAAAGAAGCTCCTGTACTTCTTTGGGCGTAGGATGTTTTGTAGCGCGTTCATACGGCCTGTAATACGCCCAGGTGTGAACCATACCCATAGGAAATAATGGGATTTCGGTGTTTGAGCGTTTTTCAGAGCGTTTGAACTCGCTACAAAACGCCCAGGTGTGAACCGGGCCTTAGTGTTTCATTACATGCACTGGTGTTGGGTGTTGCATCTGTTGGACAAAGGTCAGTGATGTGTCAGTGAGCAGCTGAAACCCCTAGTGAAATATTTACACTCAGAAAATGGAAGCCTCTCTTTTTAAAGGTAAAACAGTCATCTAGCAAGGAGGACATTGAAAGCAAGGACTTGACTGTATATGAAAAGAAAAGATTTACTACAGAGTTACTATGCAAGTCTGCCGTCACCTGCAGACAGGATTGAGTATCCAGGCCCTTGTGTAGCTTTCCTTCAGACAAAATTCTGAGAGGTCATTTCTACAGCGGGCGAAGAGCATAGCCTGATCTGCATTCTAATTCATGGAACAATAATCTATATAGTTTACATTGGGGTATCCGATTCTCACCAAGGTGATCAGGATAACAATCTGAAGTTACTTGCAGTAAAACAGATGGAGTTCAGCCAATGAAAAAACAGAGTAACACAATATGACACTAAACATTCTCTCACCATTATAAGGTAACAGATTTCCAGAATCTTACTGCAGTACATATAGTTTGTGTGTGTATGTAAATAATGAAATTAATAACACATCCTGACAGCACCAATATCAAAATAATGTGTGCTGTCCATCAAGATGACATAGTGTGGGGATGTAGACACATAATATAGGAGGGTGGTAGGGCTCTTCTATTGACTATACCCATTGCAAGGAATGAAGGTCAAATTATTAGTGTTTCTTTCAAGTGTGGGATGGCTTCTCTCAGAATGTAATCAGGTTGCAGTGATGGTTAAATTATGAATATTTCATTTTTCCTCTTATTTCTGTACCATTTACATGGCACTCTGCCCGCCTTGTGTCATCACTGTCCTTTTTGTGGAATGCCTGGATGAAAACGACCTTTGCTGTTGGCTTTGCAGAGCCCCAGGCATGGCTGCCTCATCAGCGCTAGGGATGGGGCAGGGGTTCAGCTTTGGGCCCCAGGAAGTGCCCGAAGGCTCCTCTTGATGCCCAAGTGCACAGGCCTTAATTAGACCGGGGTTCTTTAAACGCCTGAGTACAGAGATGGCTAATTCCTCATCTTGTGTACTTCTCTGGCATTGAGAGTTTTCATGACGCACTTGTCAAGGTCATCAATGATTTTCCCAGCCTTCCGCTCGTCCCTGGAATTGTATAATTTGACTGATGGGGAAATGTGATCCCTCTGACATTAAACAGGGACAAAGGCTCATGGGAAATATAATGCTTGTCATATATTTTAACAGCATAGGTTCCTGGGAAAAACATTACTGCGATATTCTACTCTGGAAATGCAACATAGACAGGACAGGGATGTAGATAGAGAGGTGTGCACAATGGCATGCAGTTCTGGAGTAAAGAAGCACTCCGGTATATGCAATTTTGTTTTCCGACTGACTGTAATCCTTATCCTGGCGTTCATTGTGCAGCTTATTGCCCCATTATTTAAATCCTTATTTCTTGATGCAGTCTATTGTGTTCCCAGGTTCAAGCCCCACTCTTTGTCATTGTTGGTTGCAGCGCACGGAATCCTTTGACAAGAGGGTACCCAGAAGCACTGTACAAAGCCTGCTGAATATGGTCTCAATAAGATATTAAATCTACATTAGAAGTAAATTGGGCAGGCTTTTATGATTGTAGCACAGTTTTCATATTTGGATAGCATTAGAAGTCCCCTGATAAACTTGTTGACATAAATAAAGTTACTTTCCAACAATGCTGCCTTTTAATTGTAAAATGTTGTCTATAACATTATTCATGTGATCCCTTTAAAGTAAAATTGTGCCCATTTCTTTTCTTTTGATTAACAATTTTTATTTAAGAGATGAAAGATAGAGTACAATAATTAAGGCACATTATCAGATATCTGGTGCCCATTTCTAACATCCCTTTACATGTCATGTTCCACTGTACACGGGAGGCCAGCAGTGAGCAGAAAGAAGGCAGGGCAAGAACCAGGGAACCCCAGCTACATTTCTCAGGGTCATTCAGATGATGATTTACCTAGCAGAGCAGCCAGATAAACAAGGCTAAAACTTTGAGACTATCGGCAGCTATACGATGTCCCCTGTCAGTTTCAATCCAGATTAACCTGGCGGAGCGGAGTGTTCTCTTATTCTCTGTGTTTGCCTTCCTCATTCTAGAAGTGGTCTTCACTGGTTGCTGACAGCTGGAACGTGCTTTGCCTGCCAGGCCTGATGCTCTCCTTCGCTGTTGTCACGACTTCCCTGGAGCCGTTAATTGACTCTGAAGGAAGGAGCACATTAAACATTGTAATCTGAGTGCTTGCGGGGTTGGCGTTGGTTGGGGGCGCTCCCCGTCAGCGAAAGCATAATACCTGCTTTCTGGGCTGATTACAGCGCTGTGTGCTATGTTCAGATTGTAATTACAGGGCAGAATCAAGCTCAGAAAAAGTCCCCCTTTTGTATTGTCTCTCTTTCTTGTAGTGTCTCCCTTACACCGCGACTGTGATGACAATAATTAGAAAGTGACAAAATGGAGTCAGGGGACCATTTCAGGCTAAGCCCTGTTTAATGATACATAAGCATGTTTCCTTCATTTCCTTTGATGGGCCATTATACAGAGAATGTTAAGGTAATCACTGTGAGGTTGCTGGAGAAAGGCGAGCAGTACTGCCCAACAATCAGCAAGTATCCTTATAAAACCTTCTAGGAAGTACTGCAGTAGACCTGACACCAATGGTGTTTTTAAAGTGGAGTTTAAAGTATTTTTATAAGATTGCAAGAATAAATCCCTGATATCTAAATATACAGTGAGAACATAATTAGAAAACAAAATCTACTTGTTATCAATAAAAAGAAGGCCCAGTACACTCAGAGACTATACATTGTAGCAAGTCACAAGGTGAGAGTCTGCAGCAAGGGCCAATCTGTGTCAGACATTTGTGAATGCAGGCAAGAATTGTACATGCATCAGGATTAACATGATTATGTCATCTCTGAGCCAGTATCTCAGTCCAGAAACCCTGGATGTTGCCTGAACAAAGATAGCTGAATCCTTCAGGAAAGAAAGGCAGATAAAAGGCATTGTTGGGGGAGTGCTGTGATCTCTGTGATACAGTGTTACACTTACATATTGGATGCTTGGTCCACTTTAAAGTAAAAATTGTTTTAGAAGCTAAAAAAATCTATGTACCAAGGTCCAATAGCTTTTGACGGATATAATTTATTTGATTATACAGTATAGTGTAAAAGCATTTTGGGACAAAACAAATGTAACACTTCCAATAGGATTATGACCATTGTAGGAATAGGGGTAGCCATGGGCTACATGGATGGTTTTTAATCTTAGTGCAGAACTCGCTCTTTTGTGCTACTGCAGGAAATTGTTGTGCGTAAAGAGATTAGTCTCACGAGATTGGTCTCATGGGGTATACTTGAATGGGAATAATCACTCAAGAATCTGCTAAATGAGTAATCATACATCACAGGACACAGGCTGGTGATCTGAGACCAGTGAGGTTATGTAGCTACCCGTAGGTGATTGGACACTGGCAATTCAAAGCTGTATGGTAAGCCCTGTAAAACCCCTCCCACTCCCAGCATGCCTTCATTTTTTTTTGCTAGTGTCCTTAGGTGAACTGATGCCTTCTTTCTGCTGTGACAGCAGCAAATCCTTTTTTGTTCGGTTTTTCTTACTCTTTTTTTTTTGCCAAGACCTTTCTAGCAAGTATCCTAGCTGCACCCAGCCACTGCGGCACCCCTTTTGCAGCTACTCCTCATGTGAGCCTTGCCGGGGGGGGGCTGTACCTTGGCCCCATCAGAAAGAAAATGCAGAGCTATCCTGTAATGTTGCTTCGTGCACCGGATCCTGCATGGGGTGCTCACCCTGGCACATAGTGCATCGTATTGTTAGCCAAAGGGTGCTATACAGGGCCATGGTCCATCTGCTGGTGGAGCGTCGTCTCTGAAAACCTCTTTAGGGAGTAAATCCGCCGGGAAGGCGAGGTTCTGCTTAGGGCTTGACCTCTAAAATGAACACTAACACGTTCACTCAAAATGCAGGTGTAAGGTATGCTAGGGTTTCTACCCAGCCTAGATGCCAAGTGTGCCAAGTGTGCTATGCACTCTGGTTCCTACGGGGTTAAACATGGAACGCTGGTTACAACTTTTTCTATTACAGCCAGTGGGGGACAGTCTTCCTTGCTTATTTTATTTAACATTGGTGCCATTTTCTCCCTATGCTATCAGGGCCACTAGAGAACCTGCACAGCCTCGTTCCTTTGTGACCATACTGCGCAGGTGGCCGATTCTTTTGGCATGCACTGTCCCCACTGCATCTGCATTTTCTGCTCCACCGGGCCACCTCTGCCTAGTGTGTCTAGATAGAGAAGGCACCCATCCTGTTTTGCAAGCATGAATACTGCTTGGTGGTTACACCTCACAGGTTTAAATCTGCACTGTCCCTCTTAGTTACTCTTATTCCTGTCCTTTGTGGATGAGTAGGTTTGCAGTTTCTTTGGTGAGGAAGGGGCGTATTTTGGAGATGTTACAAAGTGGAAGGCGGCAGGATTTGGATAGTGATAGGATGTGTGGACAAAAGGTGAGGTCCGACGAGTCAAGGATGACACCTAGGACCTTGGCAAGGGGGACGGGTTGAATAGTTGCGTTATCAATCTCAAGGAAAAATTTGGGAGAGGTGTGGGGGTTTTGGGGGGGAGAGAATATCATGAGCTCAGTTTTTGAAAGGTTGAGTTTAAGAAGTGTTGGGACATGCAAGGACACTGAGGGGGTGAGTTGTAGAGTAGAAATATATATTTGAGTGTCTTCAGCATAGAGATGGTATTGGAAGCACAAGTGAGGTTATCAACTGATCAAGGGAGGAGGTATAGATAGAGAAGAGAAAGGGTTCAAGGACAGAGTCTTGGGGAACCCCTACAGGAAGAGGATGGGAGCAGTTAGATTTGTAGGTGACACTAAAGGAGCACGTAGATAGGTAGGAGGAGAACCATGAGAGAGCAGGGAGGGAAGGATTGAAAATGTGAGTAAAAGACTGTAGGATAGAGCAAGAGGGTGAAAGAAGTAGTGGTGAGGGAACAGGGTCCAGGGGGCAAGTGGTGAGGTGGGTGACAGAGAAAAGCTTTGTAACCTCCTCTGTGGTGACTGGGTCAAAAGAGGAAAGTAACAGGTGTGATGGTGGGTCTGGTACATGAATAGGGGAAGGTGACTGCACAGTGGCAATCTGATCCCGAATTGTATCTATTTTGTTTTTTAAATGGATGGCAATGTCCTGGGCAGTGAGTGAGTTAGTGGGTGGTGGTGGTGGGGGACATATTATTTTGGAGATGTTACAAAGTGGAAGGCGGCAGGATTTGGATAGTGATAGGATGTGTGGACAAAAGGTGAGGTCCGACGAGTCAAGGATGACACCTAGGACCTTGGCAAGGGGGACGGGTTGAATAGTTGCGTTATCAATCTCAAGGAAAAATTTGGGAGAGGTGTGGGGGTTTTGGGGGGGAGAGAATATCATGAGCTCAGTTTTTGAAAGGTTGAGTTTAAGAAGTGTTGGGACATGCAAGGACACTGAGGGGGTGAGTTGTAGAGTAGAAATATATATTTGAGTGTCTTCAGCATAGAGATGGTATTGGAAGCACAAGTGAGGTTATCAACTGATCAAGGGAGGAGGTATAGATAGAGAAGAGAAAGGGTTCAAGGACAGAGTCTTGGGGAACCCCTACAGGAAGAGGATGGGAGCAGTTAGATTTGTAGGTGACACTAAAGGAGCACGTAGATAGGTAGGAGGAGAACCATGAGAGAGCAGGGAGGGAAGGATTGAAAATGTGAGTAAAAGACTGTAGGATAGAGCAAGAGGGTGAAAGAAGTAGTGGTGAGGGAACAGGGTCCAGGGGGCAAGTGGTGAGGTGGGTGACAGAGAAAAGCTTTGTAACCTCCTCTGTGGTGACTGGGTCAAAAGAGGAAAGTAACAGGTGTGATGGTGGGTCTGGTACATGAATAGGGGAAGGTGACTGCACAGTGGCAATCTGATCCCGAATTGTATCTATTTTGTTTTTTAAATGGATGGCAATGTCCTGGGCAGTGAGTGAGTTAGTGGGTGGTGGTGGTGGGGGACATAGTAGAGAGTTAAAAGTAGAAAAGAGTTGACGAGTTTTGGATGAGAGTGTGTTAATGAGAGTGACAAAATAAGTCTGTTTGGCAGCACGGAGGAAGGAATTATATTTTAGTAGGGCAGCTTTATACCAGGTGAAGTCTTGCAGAGATCTAGTTTACTGCCACAGTTGCTCAAGAGCGCGGCTATGTCTTTTAAGATGTCTGGTTTCTTCTGTTTGCAATGGTTGTAGTGGATGTGGCCTAAGTCTGCGTGTAGTGACTGGAGCCAAGGTGTCTAGGGAGAATGAGAGCGAGCTGTTGATGGCAGAATTAGCCAGGTCAGGTCAGGACAGGGGTGAGATTTTGTCTTAGAGGTATTCAGTAGCAGAGTAGAAAAGAGAAGGGTTGAACTGGCGAAGATTTCTCCAGGTGATAGTGTGCCATGTAGGGGGAATCAGGGTTGGGGGCAGGGTGAGTGTGAAACGGACAAGGTTCTGGTCTGAGAGGGGAAAATGAGTATTGGAGAGGTTGCAAGGAGTGCATAGGTGAGATAAAAAAAGATCTAGTATGTTACTAGAGTGAGTGGGGAGTATGGGTTCTTTGTGTTAGATCAAAAGAAGAGGTTAGGTTGAGAAGTTGAGTGGAAGCTGGGGTGTTAATGTTAGTAGCAATGTTAAAGTCACCAAGAATGATAGTGGGTATTTCTGAGGAGAGAAAGTATGGTAGCCAGGCAGATAACTCATCCAAAAAGTGAGATACCGGTCAAGGAGGCCCATATATTACAGCAATCCTCAGAGAAATTGGAGAAAATAGGCGAATACAGTGAGGGGTATTTATCAGAACTGGAGCAGACAGAATCTAGAGCAATTGTCCATTGCAACCAATCAGCTTCTCTCTTTCATTTTTAAACCTTACCTGAATAAACTGAATAGAGTAGCTAATTGGTTACTATGGGCAACTGCTCCAGATTCTGTCTGCTCCAGCTTTAATAAATTCCCCCCAGTGGGTTTCAAAAGAAGGGAGGGAGGTGAAGGCAGAACATGAAAGCTGCATTGTGGGGATATGAGGATTCCCACTCCACCTCCTTTCTGTCCACTGGGTCTGAGTGAGTGCGTCCAGTGGAGGCCACCATTGGAGAGGGCGGCATGGGAGGCACGAGTTGGATTCCTGAAACCAGGTTTCAGTAATGTCAAGCAAGTTAAAGGAGAACTATGGGGTCAGGGTTTTTTCCCATAGTTCTCCGAAGGGTAACGGGAGGACACAAACTAGCGTCCTCCTGTCACCCTAAGCTCAGTATACCGCGAGCTACAGCTTGCGGTATGCTGAGACGCCGCAGCTGATCCCGACATCGATATCCGCCCAGCTGTGTGAGTGACAGCTGGCTCTGCCTATCTAGAGGCAGAGCCAGCTGTACAGAGTGCTTCTCCCCATTCAGAAACTCATGAATGAACAGGGCGTGATGTAAACATCCTGTTCATTCATAACTGGGGACACATAGTACTATGTGTCCCCAGTTATTTACAAACACTGGAGTGATCAGCTGATCGCTCCAGTGTTTGTCCTGCACAGGGGACCGATACATATCACTGATATGTACCGGCTCTCTGCCGCTCGGCCACGCACACGGGGGCCCAACTTCTCCTCTGGATCCCCCCTGCTCTCCCGGACAGAGGCAGTGGGGGATCTGATGAGAAGTGAAAGAGCACTTCAGCCGCGGGGGGGAGTGGACGGAGCCGCTGTCACAGAACTAAGGACAAGCGTTGAGGGGAGAGAGAGGCGCCGGCTGTCAGTTCCTGGCCGAGGGTCTCTCTCTCTCCTCACCACTCGGCATTAGTTCTGTCTGTGACAGCGGCTCCGTCCTCCGCCGCCGGCTGCAGCGGTTCCTTCACTTCTTCTCGGATCCCCGCTGCATACAGATGGGGAG